TGCAGCACGTGGGGTCACCGTGAGTCCAGAGGGACGGTACAGCAATAGGTTTATTAAGTGGTTGCTTGAATGCAGAATACTACCTGGCAAAAAAAAGTATTTTTAGAACACTGGCGGGCCCACACCACAGGCATGCGACCTGGTTGTACACATTCTGTAAAATGCCTTTTATATTTTTCAAGGGTTGTGAAAACTACACAAAACAAACACAACCAGAAGCGTCGTGTAGGTGACCCAGAGCCACTGCCTTTGTGCTGTGGGACCTCAGAAAGCCTAAAAGGCCCAAGAGAATGGCGCCATCAGGTTTCCAAAGCTGCCAAGTGTCACAAGAGTGGACAGTCCCGGGGGAGTGGCGGGCGGGTTCCAACTGCAGATCCCCCTCGTTAACAAAGGTGTACTTACAGCTCTGCCTCCCAAGATTCTTATGGGGAAGTGGTTGTTGTTAAGTGCTACTAAATAGTATCTTCACGTGAGTTCTGAAGTCCCAAAGGTGGAGCTCACAAAGCTGATGCCTAAAGCAAACATGGCATTTATACAGAATTCAAAACATGGGAACCAGCACAGGACACATCTACATGTGGCGAGAGAAGAAGGAAATGATGACCCGTAGTAAGCACCTGGCTCAGCACATGGCTCCAGACCCGGGTGGGACTTGGGGTCCGGGCGGGGGCAGGAGGACGCGAACCTGAGACTTTGTTAGGTTTGTTTCTCCGTCAGGTGGTGGGAAGCTCAGCATTCATACATTTCTGTATATCTTAAAGGTCAAACATTAGAAAGTACGCACACTCTTTATTCAAACAGCAACTGCTGTATATTTGGGTTTGATTGAGTTGATTCTGATGCCAAGCCACCCTGTATGACGTAAGTATAACTGCCCCACGAAATTTCCTCGGCTTTATGGCAGCAGATTAGTAGGTCTGTCTCCCAAGAAACCACAGGTGGGTTTGACCCATCAACCTTTTGGTTAGGAGCCAACTACTGAGCCATTAGGGCGCCTCAGCACCTGGTTAGTGGATGCATTTCCTTTCAAGAGAACTCTGGTGACCGCCCAGCGACACCACATCCAGGATTCCAGGGTGAAACGGACCCAATGTTCTCAGTATTGACTCTAGAAAGAACAAAGCTGCGGGGAATCGAACGTCTCATTTCTCAAAGGTGAAGGGCTCAGCTGGGCTGAGCAGGCTGTGATTTCACCCTGACATTTCTGGAAGGAATGCTTAGCAACGCTCAGCTTTCTAGGTTATTTCTACAAGCACCGCTGGCAACAGGTTTGTGGTGCATGGGTGTGGAAAAACTGCACAAGGCAAATGATATTCCAGAACTTTTCTAGGAGCCCCGCCAGAGCTGAATGATATGGAGGGCTTGGGCATGCTTGTCAGTCAGGGGTGGGGGCCACGAGGTCAGCCCCAAAGAGGAAGCGTGTCAGAAAGTAGGTTAAAGAGCTGTGGGAACTGAACGAGGAATTATAGAACTTTCAACAGCCTCTTCAGTGGAGATCAATCTTAGGGAGGAAGCCGGGCTTGACTGGAAGCCCACTGGGGACGGTTATGCAAATTCTATTTTCAGGGAAAATATGAAACAAAAGCCAAGGCTCAATGGTCCCAGCCGGGCGTCCATTTTCACGACCCAACTTTATTCACTAGCCAATTCTATAGCCTCCTGTCTCGGTCCCAGGCATGAAAACCAATCTTTATGGATTGGAGTCAATAGGGCAACAAAGTTACCGCGAAATCTGTCAAAACACTCAGTTGGCCACATGGAAGGTCTTGCCAAAGGTTTCTTCTCACAAGCCTAGCCCAGAAAGTCACTGCCGTCTCCCAATGTTAATGGACAAAGCTGGGAAGTGACAGCCAGGGTCTGAAAAATCCAGGCACTGGGGCCTTCTGCTGCAGGGGAGAGAGCCACGTCCTACCTCCAGCAGCTGGTATGTGGCCTTTCACCACACCCAGACAGACACCTGTCCACCTGGCCCTGGTAAATTCTTTCTGCAGCTTCCCCTGCCACTCCCTGGGTACACTGAAGGTGCTGTTGGCCCTGCCCCTTCACCGAGCAGTTAGGTTGGCGATGCAGACAGACGATGCGGTTTTGAAAACGCAGCCCGTCCTCTGCTATCAGTGAACTGCACACCTCCAGCCCGGCCGCTGGGCTTCTGTACCCACTTCCATGTGCACATCAATACACAGGAAAGGAAGAGAGAGGGCCAGAGAAGCGAAGTCAGAGGAAGGGCCGCTACCAGGGGAGAGAAGGATACAGGGGTCCTTCCTCCTAAAAGACGGCTTGGGTTTCCTGAAAGTAACTGTAGGGTTAATACACTACATCTAACCATTACCGCTTTATATGGCCATCTGGCCAGGGGAGAGGGACTAGCTGACATATCAAGTGAAAGCCAGGATTTCAATTTTAGTAATAATTTACAAGTATTGATATTATTGTTTTGAGTGCATGTTCACATAGCTGATCAGCCTCCCATTTGACAATTTCTACCCAAATTGACATTAGTTGCCCATTTCACCAGGTGTCATCTTCTCCTTCATGGCCCCCAGGTTGTTCTGTTTCCAGAGATCTAGTTTCCCTGCCCCACAGGTGACGTTTTGGTCTCAGATGGTTTTAATGGCGGCCCGCACTCACTGGTAACAGCCTTCATTTTATGAGCCAATCTGTCATTTTGATGAAAGGTCGGCGACCTCAGGGGATCGCTTGGGTTCACCGTTCGAAGAATATCTCAGAGAGTACCCCAGTCTCAATGGATCCCATCAGCCTGGAGTTTCTCCACAAGGAGAGGATCAAAGGGGCAGAGAGACCCTCTGCCTAAAAAGACCCCACCCAACTGAAACTAATTTCTGACCCAATCCACACATTGCTTTGAAAATTTTTATGGTCCTGGAGGAGTCCTGGTGTGAGCCGCAGGTCAGAGGTTCAAGCTCACCAGCTACTCCTTGGAAACCCTACTCAGGGTTGCTGAGTCAGAACCGACTCGAGGGCACCTAACAACAACACCATGGTTCTGGAAGAAGTACAGCCAGAGCAGACTCGGCCTCTCACACTTCGGCTGTGCTGTCAGGAGGAATAATCAGTCTTGGTAAAGTGGACAGACAGTGGACGGTCAGCAGGAATGAGCAGTGCTTTGTCCTGTTGTGCACAGGGTTGCTGTGGGTCAGAACCAACCTGACAGGCACCTCATAACACCTCCACAGCCGACATATACCACCTTCAATGCTCTTATCTTTCAAAAAGGCCGCTGTGGCCAAGGTGTGGGGGTCACCGAGAGCAGCTGCTGCCAAGTGCCCAAGGTGAGGGAGCCACTGAGAAGGGAGAGGGGAACGGAACCCCCGACACCTGCTGGCAGTATGCCTGGCCACGTCTGGGGGCAGGTCTTCCTGAACGATTTATCTAAACCCAGCCTCCCCCGAGCCCCACTCACGGAGGAAGTCAAGTCCAACGGTGTTTGCCAGGACACCCATGGCCATGGAGCCCTGGTGGTGCAGCAGGGTTAAGCGCTGGGCTTTTAATCAACAAGGTCAGGAGTTCAACCCCACCAGCTGCTTCAAGGCAGAAAAAGGAAACTGGCTGCCCCCATAAAGAACCATAGTCTCGGGAAGTATATGGAGCATTCTTCTCTCCCCTATGGCAGGGTCTCTGAGTCTGAGCTGATGCCACGGCAGGGGGTTTAGGTAGCCACGGAGGATCTTGGGTCACAGGTGACAAGGCTCAGGGACAAAGGATGGCTAAGTGACTTCTGAGACGGCCCTGTAGGCTGAGCAGCAGCCGCCGCGGAGGAACCGGAGGAGGAGAGCTCGCCAGAACCCAGTTCCAGAGCTTCAGGGAGGCCGCCATGCCCTTCCTCAGGCTGGAGAACCCCATGGCACACAGGGTGGCACCCCGACAGACCCCAGGCACTCAGTGTCCACCAGCAGGGTTTCGAGGCTTTACTTCATTTTAAAGGCCAGTTACTCTACATTGCGACATGGACAAATTTTATACTGAAACACGACCCTACGATTTACCAACTAAGGGTCAGTTTACCCAAGTCTTTGTTTTTTTAAAAAATGGGTTTACTCAGTGTAAAATACCAGAAACAGCTTACTGAAGAAAACACCTAGTTGTACCACGGTCCTTTTAGTTGGTAACGCACTATTCCTAGCAAGTCATCACGGGACTGTGTGTGCACGAGCATTAGAAACTCCCAACCACGACTCAGCTGGAACTACGAACAGGCAAGACCGCGTAGGAAAGCTACGTGAACGTCCGTACACACGCACCCTCGATGGTCAGTCAAAACGCACTGCTGCAAAACCCTAGACAACTTATAAATGTAAATCCAACTGAAAAGCCACTATTTCTTGACATTCCATCCCTCCCACCTAGGTCGACATGTTTCTGAAGGTGGTGTTTCCATTCCTCTAACCCCAAAGAATCCTGCGTTCTCTGATTTACACCATGTCAAAGTGGCAGTCTGGGCAGCCTCGAGGGACTCCAATAAGTACTTCAGAGATGTAGAGTTTGGAGAATGAAATTCTCCGTGGACGGCCCTAGCTATCCTGGAAGAATGAGCAGGTACCCTGTCGCGAAGGAGGTCAGGCCTCGGCACCCCTTCCCGACCTTTCTCACGAATAATTTTCAGTTTTCTTAAAACTTCTTCCTAACAAGTCCCCTAATCACCCTATGTCCTTTGAGAGAACCTATCAAGATGACCCCTTTGGGATTCCAAAACACAGCTGTCAGAATTTTCCGTGTGGTCCCTCTTCCCTGAATTTAAATGGTCTAGCAGACGGCCCTGGAAGCCATGGTTCTGACTGGACCTTTTTGTTCTGAAGGCGTCCGGAGGAGACTGAGACAGGAATGTTGCTGAGAAAACTATTCTCTCAGACATCTGCTGAGAGAATAAACCTGTGTGTCTGTGTTGGAACCCTAACAGCACTGTTGCTGACTGATCAGTGTCGGTAGGTCCAGCTGACGCACCCACATGGGCACATGGAGTGAAACCCACATCAGATACTCACCGAGATGATGATCTGCTTCATGAGCTTCGTGTCATCGATACAATCAAAGGCTGCCAGTAATACCAGGTGGGAGTACTGGCCCTGCAAGATGAGAAGTAGGTGTAAAAAGTGCACAGGTCCTCCATCACCTTCATCAAGGTCACCTACAGTGACCACAGGTCCCGGGGTGCTAGACAATGGTGGAAACACCATTCACATAAGCCCCCTCCCCTACACCAGGATGAGTAAAGGATATTCTAGAGGCAAGCTCAACGGTAGAGAGAAAAGAGCACACTCCACGATACCCAAGAGTTCAGACACAAGAAAACACAACAGAACGAAGTGACCAGGACGAAGCCCCGCTGTCAGGTTGATTCCTGCTCACGGAGACCCGACAGAGCGCAGGAGAGCTGCCTCAGCCGTTTCTAAGGCCGTGAATCCTTATGGGCACACACGGCTTTCTCCTGCAGAGTAGCTGGTGGAGTCAAACCAACAACATACAGGTTTGCAGGTGAGTGCTTTAACCATGGCACCACCAGACTCCCTCCTGTCTGTGACTGTGTACTTGACAATCACATGAAAATCACCAGATAAGGGACGTGAAAACGAAAAGTATGAACCTAAAGCATACATAGACCAAGCATTCCAATCATGGAAAGGAAACACGTGAACACAGATCTCATTTACCTACACGTAAGACACAGGGTTAGGTGCGCAGAAACCCTACAGGGACAAACACAACAGCTGTCATCTGTGGGTTAAAAGATTGCAAAAGATTCTCAACTGCATTTGGGAGAGTACCCATTTCTCTAAAAGGACAGAATTAGGTAACAAGAATGAAAAAAGCAACCAGAAGGGGATTCTCACATACTGATTGTGAGAATGAGACAGAAATGATTCTTTCTAAACAAATCACCGACACTGAGGTTGTCAGTCTGGTGCATACCATACAGAGCAATACCAGGACCCTAAGTGTTGTTAAGTGCTGTTGAGACAGTTCCAACAGCGGTTAGCAGTCCAGTGCTTACCATGAAGCACCACACCAGGCCTCCACAGTGCTATATCAGATCACAGAAATGCACACGGTGGGGTTCACAATACCGAAGCCCATTCCGATGACTCTCTCGTACATTGCTTATTGAGTAAGGGGCATGTCTAATCGCCCCCCTCCAGATCTCATACTTGTTGTTATGTGCTGTGGAGTCAGTTCCGACTCGTAGTGACCCTGCATGGGGTTTCCGAGGCTGTAAATCTTTATGTGAGCAGAAAGCTTCATCTTTCTCCTGCGAATAGCTGGTAAGTTTCCAGCTGCTGACCTTGAGGTTCGCAGCCCAATTCGTAACCACCACACTACCAGAGCTCCTTGTTGTTGTTGTTATTGTTAGGTGACATCGAGTCGGCACCGACTCATAGCGAACTTATGCACAGCAGAATGAAACAATGTCTGATCCTGGGCCAACCTCACTACTGTTGCCACACTTGAGTCGATCGATGTTGCTCCCTGTCCAATCCATCTCGTTGGGGGGGGTCTTCCTCTTTTTCTCTGACCCTCCATCTTACCAAACATAATATCATTCTCCAGCGACTGTTCCCTCCTGACAATATGTCCAAAGTTTGGCCATCTTGGCCTCTAGGGAGCATTCTGGCTGCACTTCTTCCAAAACAGATCTAGTGGTTCTTTTGGCAGTCCATGGCAATTTTAGTATTCTCCTACAATACCATAATTCAAAGGCATCAACTTTTCTACGGTCTTCCTTATTCACTGTCCAGCTTTCGCATGCATATGAGGTTATTGAAAATACCATGGCTTGGGTCAGGCACACCTTAGTCCTCAAGCTGACATCTTTGCTCTTCAACACTTTAAAAAGTTCCTGTGCAGCAGATTTGCCTAATGCAGTATGTCGTCGGATCTCCTGACTGCTGCTTCCGTGAGTGTTGATAGTTGATCCAAGAAAAATGAAGTCCTTGACAACTTCAATTTTTTCTCCATTGATAAGAATGTTGTTTATTGGTCCAGTGGTGAGGATTTTTGTTTTCTTTACATTGAGTTGTAATCCATACCGGAGGCTGTGCTCTTTGATCTTCACCCGTAAATGTTTTTAAGTCCTCTTCACTTTCAGCAAGCAAGGTTGTATCATCTGCATATCACAGGTGGCTAATGAGTCTTCCTCCAATCCTGATGCCACATTTTTCTTCATAGAACCCAACTTCTCAGATTATTTGCTCAGCATACAGGATGAATATGGTGAAAGAACACAACCTTGTGGCACACCTTTCTTAATTTTAAACCATTCAGTGTTCCCATGTTCTGTTCGAACAACTGCTTATTGGTCCAGGTACAGATTCCTCATGAGCACAATTAAGTGTTCTGGAATACTCATACTTTTCAATGTTATCCATAGCTTGTCATGATCCACACAATTGAAAGCCTTTGCGTAGTCAATAAAGCACAGGTAAACATCTTTCTGATATTCTCTGCTTTCAGCCAAGATCCACTGGCCATCAGCAATGGTATCTCTCATTCCACGGTCTTTTCTGAATCTGGCTTGAACCTCTGGAAGTTCTCTGTCAATGTATGATTGTAGCCGTTTCTATATTACCTTTAGCAAAACTTTACTCGCTTGAGATATCAAAGAGATTGTCCGATGATTTCCGCATTCTGTTGGGTCACCTCTCTTTGGATATGGATCTCTTCCAATCATTTCTTCCATTTGCTTTAGCATCTCTTAGGAGAATACAAATCCCGACCCCAAACCCAGTGTCATGGAGTCAGTTCCAACTCACAGTGACCCTTGAGGACAGAATAAAGCAGACAGTTCACAATGCCAGCTGGAGGGGATCATACGCTTCTCAGCAACTGATAATGAAAGCCCATGTCTAAAGAGCCCAGGAGTCCTTGGCTGCTGCTGGGGGAGCAACACTGCATGGCTAACTGGAAGGAAGGTCAGTGGTTCAAACCCACCAGCTAGCTGCTCCTGGGAAATACTATACAGTGTCGCTATGAGTCAGAAGCAACTCAATAGCACTTAGGAGTCCCGGTGTGGTGCTGCAGGGTAAACACTGAACTGCTAAGGTGGGTGCTTCAAACCCACCAGATGCCCCTGGGAAACTACACAGGGTTGCTATGAGTCACAACCAACAAAACAGCCCAAAGAAGCCCAGTGGGGTTGTCAGCCCGCCAATGGACTGGCAGCCACAGGTGGGCAGTTGATCGTGCGACAGAAACACGAGCCGGTCTGCTCCTGTAAAGACTGACAGTCCGGAAGCCCCAGCTAGGGCTCGCCATGAAACGGAAGTGACTCGAGGGTGTGAGTCTGAAATCTACCCAGGGCGTGGGAAACGCATCCTGGGATGGCAAAGGGCCATGCAGTGTTGATCAGTGTTGGCATCACCGTGCCTGGCTGGGATTAGGTTCTCACAAAAAACCAACCAAATAAAAATGAGGTGCTGGTGTACCTGACATCACCAAACTCTAATGAAAATAATGCAATTAACTATGACTTAAATATTCAAATGAAAGTATCATACAAAAGATTTACTTTGTGATAAACGATTTCAGAGAACTAGAGAGTAATTAGTCAAGCTTCCTGTGACACACAACAGAGAACAGACTGTTTCCATTGTGGAATATACTGTTGTGTAGACAAAAACAAGACTGCTCTTAAAATCCTACAGAACCACAGGACGGCGGTTCAAACCCACCAGCTGCTTCTAGGAAACCCTATACAGGGTCGTTATGAGTCAGAATTGACTTGGTGGCACTTCACAACACAACCTAGAGCACAACAGTCACAGTGTAAGGGAATTTGCCTACATATAACCAGAAATACACAAAATGAATCAACAAAAGCTACAATCAAAGATGTAACTCACTATGCTAGCTTTAGATGATAACAGACAGGAAATGAATTTTACTATCAGAAGGAATGAGAGGAAACAAACACGTAGTTTTATTATACTTACATTGGCCACTTTTTCAACATAAGTTTTCATCGTTTTCACAATTACTTTCCTATCCTAAGAGAAAAGATAAAGGGTTTTCAGAGAGTTAGTAGATGGTTTAGAAGGGGAGCAGCCACGCTGCGGTCCTCTGAATACACAACTGAGTTCAAAGGGTAGCATCTGCCCCAGGACAAAGCCGGCAGGAACTGGACAGGAGATGCACAGGGAGGATGTGGCACACCTGATGCTGCGTTTCCAAGATGGCAATGAGCAATGTGAAACAATGTGTCACGAGGAGAACCGATTTGCTGTAAACCTTCACCCAATTCACAAAACAAATTTTGAAAGGCAAGAAACAGTGCCTTAGCAAGTTTCAGTGTGAATTGTATTAAATTGTGCATAACTATGAAATTCTTTTATCAGATGGCATACTTGGAATTAGTGACACTAATAATTATGACACAAGTGAACCAAAAGATGACAGGATACGACAAACGTCCTCTCAGCTCTTTCATCTTAAATATGGAGCCCTCGTGCGGCACTGCATGATAATCAACCACTGGACTGATACCTCAAGGTTGGCGGTTCAAACCCACCAGCTGCTCTAGTATACTCTATACATGGGTTGCTGAGTCTAAACTGACTCGAGAGCAGTTCACATTTCCAAGTAGCTGCAAAGCCGAGTCAAATCTCCTTTCACAGTGAGAGCTGAGGGGCCTCTTCTAAGCTCTCTTCCATGTACAGTAGGGCCCAGAATAGGGAAGGCATCCAACATATGTGTCCCTATCAAATGTGTGCTCACCGACAAAAGCAGGCCTGTGCAAGTGTCTTCTGGACGATTCACAGTGACGAGATGACTGTCATTCTGTGAAACTTCCGATGTCTGGATTTTTATCATCTTCCTCAAAGAACTGAGTACCCACATCCTCCCCCAGTAGCATCTGTTACTCGAGGCAGCCCACGACTCATGGCTACTCCGTGCACAAGAGAACAAAATGCACCCCAGTCCGGCACCACTAGGGTGCTGTGAGCTATGGGGTTACACTGGACAGTGATCGGGTGGTAAATATCCAGGACTTTCTTCCTTGCCGTTCTTTGTCTGGAAGTTGAACTGACAAAGGGGTTGGCGGTGGATGTGTGTGAGGTGATCTGGCTGAGAATTGAACCTGGGTCTCCCCACGTAGGTGAGGACTGCGTGAGCCTGTCAGGCATCCACACACACACATACACGCACACACGCTGTGTTCACTAGCGGGGCGGATCCCTTATCAGACCTTTAGGGAAAGCTCCAGGTCGTTACCAGGGCAGAGGGGAACCCGAGGTCCCGGGGCCTGGCCCTGCCCGCCCCACACAGGGGTCAAGCTCTCATACCTTGGGGGTGCCGTGCCAGAGACAGTGCATGGCCACGCGTGCACCGTCGTGTGTGTGCGCCAGGTACACCACCGCTTCTCGGATGGCTTCGATCATTTCCTAGGGGACAAAGGTGCTAACGATCAGCCCTTTCATCCATCCGCCCGTTCCCTGGGGGCACAGGGGCTGTGCACAGAAAACACGAAAGACAGCAAAGATAGCCAACAACGCAATCCTGATTTTGTAGGCTGCCACACTGAAACGCTTTTATCTAGAAATAAGTTTTTGTCACTTAGGGCAGCAGGGAATGGCTATGAACAAAGCCCCTGAGTTTTACCCAAGTCTGTTTATAAAAAAGAGTATCACTTGTCTGTTTCCACTTGTTTGTCAGTTGATCACACTGTGACGGTTTGTATTTTATTGTGAAGCTGGAAGCGGTACCCTTGGCATTTCAAACCCCAGCACGGTCACTCACAGGCAGATTTCAGCTCGGCTTCGAGACTAAGGCAGACCACTGCTGAAGGCTTAGCAGCTGAAAACCTTATGAGGAGTGGAGAACAGTGTCCTATAAAGTGCCGGCAGATGAGCCCCTCAGGCGGGAAGGGACTAAGACACGACTGGGAAGAGCTGCTCCTCGGAGCAGAGCCGACCTGAGTGGCACGGATGGAGAAAAGCTTCCCGATCTTCATTTGTGGATAGAGCACGATGCAAAATGAAGAAACGGCTACAAACACCCATTAATAATCTGAACACGGAAGGTACGAAGTATGAATCTAGGAATACTGGAAACTGTCAAAAATGAAATGCACAAGGATTGCTATCCTAAGCATCCGTGAACTGAAACGGACTGGGACCAGCCATTTTGATTGAGACGATCCTAAGGCCTACTGTGCTAGAAATGACAAATTGACAAGAAATGGCCTTCTATTCATGACCCAAAAGAACAGCTCAACACCTTGAGGTGCAATGCTCTCTGGGATAGGACAGTAACCATTTGCCTATGTTGTTGTTATGTGCCATCGAGTCGGTTCCGACCCATAGCGACCCTGTATAAGGTTTCCGAGGGTGTAAATCTTTACGGGAGTAGAAAACCTCATCTTTCTCCCGCGGAGCAGCTGGTAGTTTCGAACCGCTGACCTTAAGGTTCGCAGCCCGATTCGTAACCACTACGCTACCATTTGCCTATAAGACCAGTTAATACTTCTTGTTATTGTTGTGAAGTGCCGTCGAGTTGATTCCAACCCATAGCAACCCTGTATAGGTTTCCAAAGAGCAGCTGTTGAGCTTGAACCACCAACCTTGCAGTTCAAATGACTTTGCAGTCGGACGCATTAGCCCACAGCGCCACACCAGGACTCCAGTTTGAATACTAGAACTGTTACACTGGATAGTAGTTAATACTACTAGTATTCAAATGTATGCATCCACCACTAAGGTCAAAGGTAAAGATTTGATCAATTTCTGCACTATGAAACTGATGAAAAATGCTATCAAGATACAGTGATAATTAATAACTGGGATTGGGAAGCAAAAGCTGCAAGATGGGTCAGTGGATGGAAAGGATGGCGCTGGTGCTAGAAATGGGGCCGGAGGTCACCAGACAATTTTGGAAGACCAATGACTTACTCACTGGCAACTACTGACATGGACCTCACCAGATGGAACACACAGGAAACAAACGGACTCCATCTATGGTACGATACACTGAAGCAGCGTGACATCACTGACCAAAACAAGGCAAGGGCAGACCTGGAATGAGCATCAAATGCTCATAGGCAAGTTCAGGCTGAAAGTGAAAATTTTAGAACAAGTTCACGAGAGCTAAGGTGTGTCTATGAATACAACCTGACTGAATTTGGAGACCATCTGAAGAACAGATTAGATGCATGAACACCAATGACCGAAAACTAGAAGAGTTGTGGGATGACATCAAAAACATCAGACATGAAGAAACCAAAAGATTCTTTAAAAAAAGAGGACAGGAACGAAAAGATTAAAATGGTTGTTAGAAGAGACTCTGAAACTAGCTACTGACTTCAGAGTAAAGTGAATGGAAGAAATAAACAAAAGAGATGAACGGAAGATTTCAAAGGATGGCTTGAGTACATAAAAGAGAGAAAGTATTATAATGAAATATGCGGAGACCTGGATTTAGAACACCAATGGGGAAGAACACACTCAGCGTTCCTCAAGGTGAAAGAGCTGAAGAAAAAAATTCAGGACTTAAGTTGCAATACTGAAACATTCTCTGGATAAAATACTGACTGTCACAGGATGCACCGGAAGACGGAAGGAATAATCATTCTGCGGACAAGAACTGGCCAACAGGACACTTTTCAGGAGGCAGCATATGATCAAACACTGATGGTACTGAAGGAAGAAGGTCAAAGTGCACCGAAAGACTGCACTGGCCGAACACCAAGTGAAATGTCTCAACAAACAGATGCATAGCAAGAAATGCCCGCTTGTCGATGCCAAAACATGTGTACGAGAGTTACACCTGGAAGAGGTCTGTGTTTGGCCCATGCCAAAGAAAGGTGACTCAATGGAATGCAGAAATTGTCAAGCAATATCATTAAGATTACATGCAAGTAAAATCTTGAAGACCATTCAAAATGTTCACCACAGTACATCAACAGGATGCTGCCAGAAACTCAAGGCAGATCCAGAAAGGACTTGGCCCGAGGGTGGCTTAGTTATCTACTGCTGCTATAGCAGACATCCCAGTGGATGGCTTTAACACCAGAAACCTGCCCTCTCAGTAAGGACGCTGTTGCTGCTGTTGTGAGGTCAGAGTTTACATCACAAATGAAGGGTAATTTATCACATCGGATTACATCTTGGGGGATGCTACTGAGAACATGGCCTTGCCAGTTGACACATAAAAGGGGCTCCAACAGAGGTCCTTGGGACCATCAAAGGAGAAGAGTGAAGTGCGGGACCCCACCCAGAGAAGCAGTGACACCAGAGATGGAGGCAGAGACGATGACGTGGAGAGATGGAGCCGCTGGAGACTCTAGACCCAGAGAGGGAGAGGGGCTGTGTGCTGACGACTGGGGGGCAGGCTTGCAGGGCATAGTCTTTGGTTGGTTGATCATACATGGAGGGGATTGTAACCATGGCAATGAAACAATATACGATAGGATGAATGTAAAGCTAATGTTCTCCCATGTAAACTATCACATAATTCACAATAAAACATTGAAAAAATAAATAAATAAAGGGGGTGGGGCTTCAAAAAGATAGTGGAAAAATTGGATTACAAGGGAATGGGTTTTTCCTATGAGCCGGCTGAGCCATGTATTCTGGAAGACAGTTCTGAATATGTCTGTGAGTATTGTTCCTGCTTTGAGGTGCCGTCGGGTTGGTACCGATTCACAGCGACAGTATACATAATTTGCCTTCACTCCTGGTTCTGAATCCTTGTATCATACAGGGGAGGCTGGAGGCTTCAAAAAGTTCATAGAAAAATGGAATGAAAAGATCATGGGATTTCCCCACAGACTTTCTGACGCCCCCTCGCATGACAAGTTTATTTTCACAAAGCTACCTCCCCTTGACAATTTAACACCAACCTTTGTGTTGGATTTGAACTCCACGAATGTGGAGTATTCCTGACACTTAGCTCATGTTTAGGCTGCATTAGAGGCTACTCCACTAGATGACAAAATATAAACTTAAGGGGTTAATTTTAACCCCCAACTCAACAGAACCCTCTGCTGTCAAAAAGAACCCATTCTGATTCAGTGGCCCTGCAGGGTAGAGCAGAACGACCCCAAGGGGTTATCAAGGCTGCGACCCTTAGGGAAGCAGATCATCTCTCTCTGAGCGGACAGTAGCTTCACACTACACCACAGCACTTCAGTCACTGCGCCACAAGGGCTCCAAATTTTAATTGAGTGGATTAAAAATTCATACATCAGCATCCAAGAAAAACTAAGGCCAACCCATTTTCCTGGTAAAACCCAGCTAGAACTGGTAGATGGTTCGAAGGCGTTTCAGAGGGCCACACTGTACTGAAAGTTCCACCTTTCTGCTTGGCCCGCCCTCCATGCTTCTGTTCAGACCGTAAAAGCCAGTGCTTACCGATCTCAGTTTTGGGGGTGCGTAGGTAAAGAAGTCCAAGAACACTTTATGTACCAATGAGTGCTTGATCACAGATTCCCTGGAGAGACAGAAACAGGGAGAAGGTGACATCGGAGACTGGAGTAATCCAGATGCGTGTCCCCCGCCCCCCCCCCACACACACCCCGGGAGTCCCACAAAAACATGAGAGAGAGAAATGGCTTCACGTCAGGTCCTTGCTGGGAGGACAGATGGTGTCTGTGAGCAATCTAACACTCTCTTGTCTTATAGGCAGAGAGTCATTTTGTGCCATTTACCATCAATACCAAGGAGCTCTGGTAGCGTAGTGGTTACGAATTGGGCTGCAAACCGCACGGTCAGCAGTTCGAAACTACCAGCTGTTCCGCGGGAGAAAGATGAGGCTTTCTGCTCCCGTAAAGATTTACAGCCTCGAAAACCCTGTACAGGGTCGCTATGGGTCAGAACCGACTCCACAGCACATAACAACAATCATCACCAAGACCTCAGTCCTGCTGTGGGGCTACAGAATCAGCACTGAACTGCTAACTGCAGGGTCAGCGGTTCAAACCCACCGGCAGCTACTTGGGAACCCTATACAGGGCCACTGTGAGTCACGATGGCATTTAATAATTACCACCACCCCAAGAGCAGAGGGACAGATTCCTGCCTTTCTCTAGGCAGCACAGACGGAAGATTCACTCAACTCCCGCACCCCCACCCCCCAGCAGGGAAGTCCAGTTTTCAGAGCCCGCTGTGCCTCACGGGGGGTGGGGGGTACTCAGTGGTTGGTTTGGGTGAAGTTGAAGTAAAGCCCCGGGCCTTTCTTCTGAGCTATTCCTGGGTGGTCTCGAACCTCCAACCTTTCAGTTAGCAGCAAGTGCATCAATTGTTTCTACTACTCTGTCCCCTTTTAAACAGTGACATTTTCCCCCAGCAATGAGTCACATGATTAGAAATTCACCCCAGGACCTGTCTCTATTCTCTCTGACATCTTTCACACAAAGCATCTGCCCCCGAAAATTACTCTCACGTCATTCAAACGTGCATGGATCAAACCACCAGCAATGGTGTTGGTGTCCAACATGTCCAGGCCCCCGCGTGTGACACCTGGCTGGATGCAGCAGACCCAGGTCACATGGAGCATCCTAGCAGACAGTAGAAACTCAGGGCACCTTTAGCATGGGAAGAGCACTGATCTAAGTGCGTTAGAAACACGAGCCCACTTACCGAAGGCCACATGCCATCACCGTTCCACCGTTACAGGTAAGGAGACTGTGATGGTGCCCAAGGTCACAGACAGAAGCTGGAGATCCCAGGACTGACCCCAGTCCATGCTTCTAAACCATTCCACGATGCCACAAACACCCAGGACCCACGCCTGGACTGACAGCCTCTACTTATAAAACTACTCAGCCTACTTGCAACCTAACATTTTATTTGGAGAAAAAGGTTTCATTGCTTAAAAAATGGTTTCGAGTGAGTGGGCATCTAAGGTGCAAACACTGGTCTCCGCCGTTCAGAACAAAGGAGAAACCAAAGCTGCGTGGAAACAGTGGGTCCAACGGACGAAGCCCCCCCTTCCCCAAGATCAATAACTAGATGATGCCAGACTACCACTGCTAACTGTTCTAAAAGGGATCACATTAGAAGGTTCTGGATAGAGTGGGAGAAAATGGGGAACAGAATGACTCAAAGTCATCAGAAAGACCCGGCTGACCGGCAAACCCTGAAGCTCTGGCCCTTGGTCACCCTTCAGGACTAGAACTGAACTCAGTCCCGCGTTCAATTCCTAGTCAGACAGTAAGTCTGCTGTGATGTTCGCTGTAGGATAAGCACTGGATAGATAAGCACACAGTTAACAGTTCAAGCCAGCTGCTCCACAGACCAAAAAAAGTTAAGGTTTCTGCTTCTGTGAAGATTTACAGCCTCAGAAACCCTACACAGGCTTCACTGTGAGTCAAAATCGGCTTGGTCTGGTTTTTGATAAGGTAAACAGGATACAAGTTCAGAAGGGTTAGGAATGGAACCGGGAACCACAGGGAGGGGAGGCAGCGGTGTAAGTGACGCTGCGGCCAATGGCACCGTCAGAGAACGCCACCTCATTTACCCCAGAGGGTCGTCTCAAACCTGCAGACTCGTACAAATATGGTAAGGAAACAACACCCCATTTTATCTAAAAAATTCCTAGTTCACGAGCCCCTTGTTAAAGAAAAACAAAGAAACAAAAACTCGACCCCCTTACTTCTGGGCCATGGGCATCAGAATCTGTTTCATTTCGTCCATTATCAGCTCCAGTTTGGTGGGCTGTGCCTCCAGGACTCTGTCCAGGGTGGGGTGGTCTGGTGACTGCAAAGAGAAGAATCAACCCCTCCAAATCCAATCCAGCTCCTTCACTGGGCCCACCAGCTGCCAGAGGCCCACTAGGACTCCTGACGGTCCTGTGGGTGTCACAGTCGGAGACTTGTCACGCCTTTCTTCCAACCACTATGTTTGTACCACCAGGGGCACTGCTTCAATGTTAGAATGAAGACAATCAATTACGGTTCATTCCCGTGTCCACGTGAACAGATGCCCAGCTGTGTCCCCTCCGCAGCCACTTCTGATGGTCAGTCTCAGTCTGCACATCTACCAAGCCATCAGGCTAAAATCTGACCCAATGACCCAGCCAACAACTGACCACAAACTCCGGTCACCAAGTGACTTCCAACCACCTGGGTGACCAGGGAGGGAGTGTTACAGACAGAATGCCAAGCCCACCAGGGGGATGGAACCGAACACAAGCAACCCCTCAGGGAAGCCCAGGCACTGATGGCCCCAGCTTGGAAACAGGTCGGCCTGCCGTCCCTTTCTCAGACACAGTCTCCTCCCTGTCACCTCTGGGCACAATTAGGAGAGTGCAATGTACACGTGGGGCTGAGGGGACGTAACAGAGCCACCGTGCATGTCAGCAACGTTAATGTGCCGGAGGCAAACAGCCCACCGAGAGACACCATGGGATAAAGGCCTGGTGACCCACTTGAACACATCAGTCCCTAAAACCACACGGAGCGCAGTTCACTGACACACAGCGCTGCCAGGAGTGAGGGTTAACTCCAGAACACAGAAACACACAGACAGACAGACAGACACAAAGGCTGAGAGGGAGTCCCGGAGCCATATGTGCACACAGACACACAGACAGACAGAGCACACACCAAAAGCAGGAGTTGGCCCAGAGGTGACGTCATGTGGAGAGGCTGAGAGCAAGCTCTGGGAGGCAGGGACAGGCCACTGCAGCCAAAACCACCCACAAGGATGACAGAGGTGAAGCGGTGCGTCACCTTGTAGAGTTGGAAGGTGTTCCCGTAGAGCTCCTCGGCCAGCAGGTTCCGCTGCTCCAGGATGGCCCTGTCGTTGTAGGCATACTCCACGATGGCCGAGGCCTCTGCGTGCCGAAGCAGCTTCCTGACGTGGCCCCGGAAACTGCGGATGATCTCCGCAATCTGTGGTTTGCTCCTAAACCCAGAGAGTGGGAACACCAACCCACGGCTACCAAGTTGAGTCCAACTCAGAGTGACCCTACAGGACAGGGCAGAAGTGCCCCCCAGGACCTCCAAAGCTGATGTACAGCCGACTCCACGGCACATCATCACCACCACCAAGAATGGGGAAGGCCCACACAGCCACCAAGTGCATTTTGACTCATAGGGACCTTAGAGAACAGAGCAGAATGGCCCCACAACAGCCCCTGTCCTGCCAACGGAGCAGCCCTGTTAGCACCACCCTAACTTCACGCTTGCTTCAGTGACTGTTGTTGGGCTCACACTTCATCGCAGCATTGCTACAGATCGCTAGAGCCTGCTGTGGCGCTGGGGCTAATGCGTCAGACTGCAAAGCCGGGTGAACGGCAGGGCCTGCGGTTCAAGCTCACCAGTCACTCCTCGGAAACCCTATACAGCGGCGCTATGGGTTGGAACCAACTGGATGGTACATTAGCAACAACATCCCTGTGGAGAAGCTCCACTGTGGCACCGTAGGATAAGCAATCTACTACAGGCTGCAAGCAAGGCTAGTGGTTCCAACCCACCAGGCGCCCCTCAAAAACCCTCCACGGGAACATTCTGAGTTGGAAGCAACTGGAAGGCACTTGTCAACAACCCTACTGCAGACATAATGTAACGTAACATAAAACAAGCCACTAGGCGTCTCTGAGAGATACCTGCACATGATCAATGCCCGCTCACTGCTTTAGAAACAAGGAAAAAAGGAATACCCAACCAAGACACAACTTACCCATACATGAGGAACTTCTTGACAACATTTCTGGAATATTTGGCTTTACTCAGTTCAACAAAATTCTCTGAAAAGAGAAATCAAAACCACTTGGCATTCTCACATCCGGTCTCTGAACACGGGTTGACAGAAAGGCATGATACTGGAGGGACAGACATACATGAATGAGGGGAGACTAAGGACAAGGGGCCCGCAGAGCACAGGCTGCCGGAGCTCAGCAGTGCTCACAACAAAGCCTCCGCCCTGCACGCAGCGGGTACCTCGCAGTTCTTCGAAGGCCTTGTTCCTCTGCTCCTCACTCCCGTGCTGAATATAGCACTGGATCACACGCGTGGAATCATGGGCAAAGGCAATCTGTGTGGAAAGAGTGGGGCCTGTAAACAGATGTGCTCCGAGGACTCAGGCCCCCTTCTCAGAGGCTGAGTCTTTTGGGATTCTCAGATGAAAGGAAGCTGGGTAGTGGAGGATAAAATGCAATCTGGATCACCTTGGATGAAAGATTGCCTTTGATTGCATAGAATGAGGCTGTAGCAGCATTGGATGGTTGGGTAGCTTACACACTTTACGGTGGTGGTTATGTGCCGTGGAGCTGGTTCCGACTCATAGCGACCCTGTACAGGGTTTCCAAGGCTGTAAAACTTCACGGGAGCAGAAAGCCTCATCTTTCTCCCGGGGAACAGCTGGTATTTTTGAACTGCTGATGTAGCAGTTCGCAACCTGATTCGTAACCACTACGCTACCAGAGCTCCTTACACACTTTATAGGCACAATTAAATAGTAACAGCTTTAGGGGACACAGACTGAACCACTGACAAGATTCTTCTCTGTAAACTTCAAAGTAAAACCAAGCTGTCCAGTGATGATACCCAAGGCATTTCTCAGACAGTTACCTTCCCTGAAAGGGAAACGCTTCAAGGCCCAAACCCCACTATTATGATGCTAGGATCAGAACATTGTTACACCATTAAAAATCATTACACCACGTATCTAAGAATGCCTGGCCTGCCTTAGCAACCGAGGGCGTAATGACGCTGGTTAGATGCTGCCGTCTCCTGATTCATGATCACAGGGAATGCAGCACAGACAGAAATGCCCTGCAGGCTCCCAAGGCTGTGATCCGTCGTCAGCAGACCACTAGGCCTGGCTGGCTGCGCCTGAACCACCAACTTTTCAGCTCAGCTCTGTCTGCACACACACTGGAAGCCCCAAGATGCTCCACTTCTCACATTCTTGGGGTTCCCACACACGCCCCCAGTGATGTTCCTAGAAAAGTACTCCCAATCAAATAGGACAACCCACTCCCCTGCAAATATGAAAATGAACCAGACCGCCTTTGAGGATCCATCTACTACAAAAATTGCAGGTAATCAATGGCACAAAATCATTTCAGTATGTCACCGAGCCACTCAACCTCCGAGTATCTGCTACTGGCTTTAAAATATAACCAATCAGAAGGTGGAGGAACGGTCCACCAGAGTTAGGGACTTTGGAAGAATCTTAGGGGAGATCTGCTTAGGTTACTATTGAGAAAACATTTCAAATAAAAAGGCAGGTTTTGAGAGATGGACATAAAAGCATTTGATGGCTTTTTTTTTGGCTTGCTGACTGTATATTAATGAAATACCAACACTTGAGGTCAAGTTCTTGGTTTTCAGCTCCTGCTTGAAATTAGGTTAAATTTCTTAAAAAGTGCCCAAGAATCCTACGTACATACATGGATGTGATCGCCTCCTACATTCCCCAAATAAGAGCTTTAACCCTATTTCCCCACTTGGACCCAGCAGCTGTCAGAGCCTCTTCACAGATGAAAGTGAGGGGACAAGCCGTCAGTGCCACCACTCTTGGGGCCTTGGCCAAGAAACGCAACTTCCGAGGCCTCGATGTCTCAAAGTGTAACACCAGATGGCAAAATCCCTAAGCCCTCACTGCCACCAAGTCCATTCCGACTCACAGGGCCCTAGGCCCTAGGCAGGGTTCCCAAGGCAGACAGCCTTCCTTTTCTCCCACAGAGCGGCTGGTGGATTCGAACTGCTGACCTTGCGAGTGGCAGTTCGATTTGCACTCAGGAAACAGCTGATGACTGGTTGGGTGCCGAGCTCTCAGAAAGATGTGAGTGACCGTCACTGTGGTAATCACCTCACCACGCCAACTTTCGGAGAGCATAGATTAAGCCAATGACTAAAACCACAGACAAACACGAGGCCCTCTTCACGGCTGCGGGCAGTCCGGCTCCTCACTACGAAACCTCTAGTCACCCACAGAGAGTGCTCAGTGCCACGGCTGACCAGCCAGCCGCATACACGCCACACTCACCGTCTTGATTTTCCCTTGAATCAACTTCTGCAGGTCTCTCATTAGCTTCACTCTCTTTTCTTTGTCACAGTCTTTTCTAAAAAAAAGAAAAAGGCGGAAAAAACATGAGCTGACCCGAAGAAATTACTTAAACATGCAAGACTATCCATGTTCATCATGGCTTTCTCTCCATGACGACAGCAAACCTGACGTCAGAACTGAGAAGCCAGAGAAAATGGAAACTCCTCTTGGTATCTGTGGCTTTATGCGTCAGTCTAACTCCTAATAGCCCGAAGCTGAGGAGTCCATGACAAACAGGGCTAACTCCTAACAGCCCGAACCTGGAGTCCATGACAAACAGGGCTAACTCCTAACAGCCGGAACCTGGAGTCCATGACAAACAGGGCTAACTCCTAACAGCCCGAACCTGGAGTCCATGACAAACAGGATAGCAGACTCTTACAAGCAGCTCAAAGCCTACAGGCTAAGACACGGTCCATTTTCTCAAGTCTCAGAGAGGATGCCAAACCACTCATACTATACTAAACATGCGACATTACCTTAATGATCCCACATACTCTACGGTGGAGAAATGCCCACACCCTACCCTTCCAGGGGGTGTGATGTGTACCCCCCCAAATCAGCAGGCGTTGGATCACTAATTCCACACACCCCACTGTTCAAGAGCACTGGCCCTTCTCCATCATACCAAGAGCACAGATAAAGCGTTACCTCCTCAACAGCTCCCAGATCTGCTTGGCCCGGACCACGACGTCATAGTTGGTTTTGTCACTGAGCTGCCGGCTCTGTTTTAGCTCTTTTTTCTTCTTCTTGAAATCGTCCCATTTAGGTTTCTTGGCGGCAGATTCTGATGATTCCAGAAATCAATTTCAACATTTAGAGTAACCCAGAAAGACAAATACAAATTCAGCCCATCACAAATCAGGATCAATCCTTGTGGTGGAAGCTACGGGGGTATCCCTCACGACCTTCACCTGTATTTCACTTCCTGAGCAGTGGGGACATCTTCAGTTTGAACAAAACCAATCGTTCATCCGTTTGATTAACAGAAATGCTCATTAAGGGAAAAAAGGATTATAATTCTTTATAAAGACAATTTAAATTTTTAAGTGTATTGTTTATTGATAAGATACAATTCTACTTTAGGGAGTGTATGATCACTGAGCTTTCAGGATAGCCAGTTCTTTAGGAAAATTTGGTGTAAACTGAGCAGGAAAACCAATTTCCAGTTCACTATTTGGAATGCACCCAATCATTACATTCTTAGGGCCACCCTAAAAAGTGGACACTTGTCACCCCCTTCTCCAGTCTGGGGGTCTTGCTGTAGCACTGTGGGATAAAGCCCTGGACCACAGAGTCCTCTGAACCACAAGGCTGGTGGTTCAAACTCACCAACCACTCCTTGGAAACCCTGTAAGGTTTGCTGTGCATCAGAACTAACTCGAAAGCAATTAACAACAACCTTCCAATCTGGGGAAGCAAATACACCAAGCAGTTAGTCCCTATGTCTAAGAGCCAGGACCCGAACCCCAAGATGGCCTTCTGAATCCTGTGTTCTGCAACTTCTCCCGTATGAAAACACAGAGGCAAAATTTTCACAACGCTGAAGAGAGTGCAATGCTGCATGTGTACCTTTCTGTCCTCAAAACTCTGAGTGAAACAAACCAACTGAACCAAACAGCCCAATGACGTCAAACAAAACGTAACTTTAACAAGAGCGGTATCTGTTATAAGAGCAGCTTTTCAGAGTGATTGGTTATCTCCAAACATCCCTCATTCTTTGGTTAAAAGGGGGTGCTAAAAAAAGTCTGTGGGAAAATGCCATTCTCTTTTCATTTCATTTTCCCACCAACTCTCCCCCCATGCCCGTCCTCTGGCAGCCCCTCCTGAGGCAACAGGAGTAAAGAATGCCCCCTGGCAAAGGCCTCTGTGGGGACAGGCCATGTTGAAGAACAATAGCCACTGACCTGCAGCCTAGCCCAGAAAGCAGCGCTCTGAAGGTGAAAGGGCTCACCGAGCAGCGGGACCAAGAGGCCCGTGGTTCCTTTCAATGCCAAGGATGAGTCAGGCCCGCCGGCTCAGCTGCCAGCTGCTAAGGACCAGAGAAAGTGGCCTGGTGGCTCAGTGATTAAGCATCCAGCCTCTGACCGAAAGCTGCTCGGCTTTGAAGGATGTGGCCGTCTGCTTCCCTCAGTTAGATTCTCAGCCAAGCACACACTGTCCGACCCTCAGGGTCACTGGGAGTCTGAATCAAATCAACATATGAGTTGATTTTCAGTGGCACAATGGTTAACTGCTTGGTTGCTCTCCAAAACGTGGGTGGTTTGAATCCACCCAGCTCCTCCATGAAGACCTGGCTATTTGCTCCTTTAAGATTATCACCTAAAACATCCCTATGGGGAACTTATCCTCTGTCACATGGAGGCGCTGCGAGTTGATGGTACATAAGAGTGTACATGAGAGGTGGGGATTGATGGCGGCTAGGGTGGAGGTGCAGTGAAGTTCGCCATCAGCCATACCACAGAATACCAGGCAAAGCAGATCCAGGGCAGACCTCCAAAACTCGGAACCACAGAGATAGGAATATTTTAAAGGATTGAAGGCTTATAGCTAGTGGAACTTTTAGCAAAAGTGAGAAATCGCATACTTTTGCCGACAACTTGGGCGAAACCAAATGGCAAGACCAAGCAGGGGAGCAGACCCACCATGGAAAACACCGCGAGAACCTCAGAGCAAAGGTGGACAATACACTTTGTCGGCTTTGCTTTCTTCTGATTTTCTTATTTTTGGGTATCTCTTCATTGGGCGCCCCCCAGCTATTTGCATACCTCCATTCTGGTAACTAGAGGGGTTGGGGGGTGCCTGAGCGAGTGGACACCCCCCACCCTCACCACTGGTGGGTTCTTCTGCCACACATGTGCAGATACACTAAGCTCAAGAGGTGGCCCTGAACTGGTTTTTTGTTGTTGTTTTTCTTAAATACGGGAAACGCCAGGACAGGGGTGTAGACAGAGAAAGAGAGTTTAAAAACAGAAAATTATATCAAATCCTCAGGTACAGCACAACAACAGTGGCATCTTGAAATTTCTCAGGCAGCTTTGAAAGCAAAAAGCTGAACAGAGGACATTAAAGTCAGACTCATATTGGTGGCTGGCTGTGTGCTGGGGAGATGGTTCCGACTCATAGTGAGCCTGTGCAGGGTTTTCGAGCCCATGGATCTCTGCAAGAGCAGAACGCCTCATCTTTCTCTTGTAGAGCGGCTGGTGGTTTCGAATTGCGGTTTGCAGCCCAATTCATAACCACTGCACTACCAGAGCTACAGATTTTTTTTTTTCCCTCTCGTCTGTCCCTCTTCTCCCTTTTCTGCGATTATAGACTACAGTATTCACTCTAGTTTTGTTTTGTTGTTTTTTGGTGTTTTCTTTTTGCTGGAGCTGTTTTGCTGTTTTATGCTCCCTCTTCTACCTCTGGTGGACCCTATATTACCCAAGAAGAGTCAGCAACTGCTGCCATATACTCAAGCTACAATCACACTCTATAAAACACCAAAACAAAAGCAAGAACCAATACCAACTGCCATATACCAGGGAAACAGACAACACCTGTGAAAGTTACTCTGAGTTAAGCAATAAGAAGAGTGAAAAGGGAAGCCCACATCCTGATCACATCAACCTGGAAGCAATCAGAAAGCATAAAAAATACCAAAACACATACTCAATTAAATATTAAGGCCACAGATTAACACTAAACATGTCCAAGAAGCAAAAGCAGATGATCATATCAGCACATGTCCAGAAACAAGATAAAATGTCTGAGGCAAATGACCTAGAGGTAGACCTGGAATCCATTCTGGAAAAAGGGCAGGCCCTGGAAATGCCTGAGAAGGAATTCATAAACATAATTATAAAATGTTTCAAAACACTTTACAATGGAGTTGAAAAAAATAAGGAAGAAGTCAGGAAAGCACTACATGAACAATCAAGTAAGATACAGATACAGCATTGGAAACGATTCAAAACCTACAGAAACAGGTCCAAACGATCACTAATAGAATATCAGAAATAGACAATACTCTGAAAGGACAAAGGGGTAGAATAGAAGAGATGGAAGGCAAAACCAGTGAGCTGTAAGACAAATCTCTCAATACCAGTAAGATAGAAGAGCAAACAGAAAAAAAGGATAAAAAAATCTGAAGAAGGTCTAAGATTCAAGTTGGACAACATGAAATAACTTAAGAATTATCGGCATTCCAGAACAAGAAGAATCACATAAGTCCACAGAGGAAACAGCTGAAGAACTACTGGAAGAAAATTTCCCTAACATCCTGAAAAGTGAAAAGATAAACATTCAAGAAGCTCAACGAACTCCGGGAAGGATAGACCCCAAAAGAAAGTCACCGAGACATATCATAATCAAGCTCTCCAAAATCAAAGATAAGGAGACACTCCTGAAAGCAGCTAGGGAAAACAGAAGGGTCACATACAAAGGCAAGCAAGTCAGATTAAGCTCGGATCTCTCAGCAGAAACCATGTAAGCAAGAAGGCAATGGGGAGACATACATAAAGTCCTGAAAGAAAAAAAAACTGCCAACCAAGAATCCTTTATCCAGCAAAGCCAGCAATTAAATACAATGGTGTAATCAAAACAGTCCAGGATAAACAGAAGCTAAGGGATTTTGCCAAAGCCAACTCTGCACTACAAAACATCCTAAAGGGAGTTCTGTGGACTGAGAACCAACAAAAACAGACAATAACCAGAGATTGACATATGTGGCAGCACCTCCCAGAATTAAGTCGACAGAAAGAAGAGTCGAGAAAAGAACAAAACTATAAGAACAAACTCAGAGAATCTGGGAGGTCAGTCTATGATCAAAACAAGTACTATGTAGAAGAAGGTAAACATGTAGGAACAGAGATCCAGATAGTGAGAAGCTCAGGTCGATTACAAGATAAAATAGACTGCAGTAACTGGAGAGAAAAGTTAACGGACTATAAGGCAACCCCAAAGAAACTTAACACGTCACAATACACCAAGAGAATGAAAATCCAAGAACAAGGAAACATTAAAACTATGAGGAAACTCACAAGAAAGAACACAAAAAGCATGAACTCAACAAAGGAAGACACACAGACCAAAGAAAGCAGCAACACCACAAAAAAACAAACATAATGGTAGCAACTAATCCATACTTATCAATTATTACATTGAACGTAAATGGATTAAATGCACCTGTTACATGATGAAGAGTGGCAGAATGGATAAGAAAACAAGATCCTTCAATATGCTCTCTGCAAGAGACACATCTCACACAGAGACAAAAACAGATTAAAAGTCAAAGGATAGGAAAAATATATACCAAACTAATTGCAATAAAAAATGAACAGGAGTGGCAGTACTAATCTCTGATAAAATCAACTTTAAAGCAAAAACCAGCATAATAGATAAAAATGGACATTATCTCATGATAAAGGGAAAACTGAACAAGATGAAATAACCATAATAAATATCTATGCTCCCAATGAAAGAGCTCCAAGATATATAAAGCAAACTCTAATAGATTTGAAGAAAGAAATAGATGAATCTACAATAATAGTGGGTGATTTTAATACATCGCTTCCAAAAATGGATAGAACACACTCTGATTGGTGACCACATTCATCACCAATAAGGGGAAGTGAGGGAAAAACAGCAATAAAGCTGCAAGCTAAGCCCTACAACGTTTAATAGACTCCTGTGAACCTGGGTAGAGACCTGGTTGGCCAGCAGTGTGGCAAGACCTGGGGACTCTTGGGCCCAGAGTCAGTGACATAGCCACAGAGCACTAGACTGGAGAGTGAAGCATCCAGCTGATAAGAAGAGAGGGCATATGCACAAGAACACCCACACTTGCAGATAATACCCACTTGACCTGGTTTCAATGACTGGATGATAAGAGCTCACCAGAAGTAAGAAGAGGAAAATAAGAGTAAACTAATACAATTTGATGAAAACTTGACCAACACCTATGGATGCAGTAGCTCAAAAGAGGGAACAAATCTTTACAGCAAGGACCATTCCCAACCCCCCACCCCATACACAGAATAGACAGGGATGGGCAACTTGGACACTGGCTACCCAAAATGGGAGGCTTCAAAGGCAAGAAGTGACTGGCTTACAAGTTTTTAAGACGGAATCTACATCCAGAGGGCGTGGAGGAAGGTAGAATCTCCACTGAGTAGTATCCAATCTGTCTAGGCGGGGCTGATGAAAGGAAATGTGAATAGGTCTCTTGTGATACAATAGTGAATAATTGTTATCAGGACTGATTGTGAGGGTTAGAAATGTAAAGGTAGATGTTTTGTAGCAAGAAGGGGAGTGACTGACTTTTCAGTCTAGGAGTGGAGGTCCCTGGGACCCATCAAGGGAGACAAGTGGACAGCAGGACCCTACCCAGAGAAGCAGTGACCCCTGATATGGAGGCAGAGACGATGACCTGGAGAGATGTGTGGCTGGGGACTTTAGACACAGTGAGGGAGAGGGACTGTGTGCTGAGGACCAGGGGCGGGGGCAGGCTTGCAGGGTGTATCCTTTGGTTGGTTGATGATACATGGAGGGGATTGTAACCATGGCAATGAAATGATATACAATAGGATGAATGTAAAACTAATGTTCTCCCATGTAAACCATCACATAATTCATAATAGAAACATTTTTTAAAAAGTGTGCGTGAGTACGTAGTGACACAGCTGAGCCTAGGAAACCCTCTGGGGCAGTTCTCCTCCGTCACACGGGGCCGCTGTGAGTGGATGACATATAAGAGTATACACGAGTATGTAGTGATACCATAGATGACAGCCTAGGAAACCCACGAGGCCGTTTTACTCTGTCACACGGGGTTGCTATGAATAGAATTTGATTCCATGCTACCTCACCACCACAACTACGCCCATTAGTTGGGGTAGCGTAGTGGTTACGAATCGGGCTGCTAACCTCAGGGTCAGCAGTTCAAAACTACCAGTTGTTCCACGGGAGAAAGATGAGGCTTTCTGCTCTCGTAAAGATTTACAGACTCGGAAACCCTATGCAGGGTTGCCACGAGTCGGAATCGACTCCACGGCACTTAACAACAACAACAACAACAACTACTACTACTCTTACTGGTTATCCTGGACTGAACTGTGTCTCCCCAAAATTGGGTCAACTTGGCTAAGCCACAATTTTCAGTGCCTAGCCAGTGCACAGTTTGACAGTTTTGTGAAGATGCCCATGGTGGACTGGATGCCATCAGCCAGTGCCCTGGCAGGATTTCAGGCTGGGATGCAGAGCCCTTACTCAACCCTGAACAGACGTGAGGGGGCTTCCCTGGGGTGTGGCCTGCATCATCTCTTATCTTACAGTAAGCAGGGGAACACAGAAAGGAGCAGAGAGACCCCAAGCAAGAAGAGCTGGGATTTGGATCCTTTGGAACCAGGATCCCTAAAGCTAAGAACCCCCTAGACCCAGGGGAAGACTGATGCCAAGACACATGGAGAGCTTCAGGGAAGATCGGGCCCATACATGCTAATGAGCCGACCAAGAGACCAAGCTAGCCCCTAGAGCTGGCATATACATGCTAATGAGCTGACCGAGAGACCAAGCTAGCCTCTATAGCTGGCCCATACATGCTAATGAGCCGACTGAGAGACCAAGCCAGCCCCTAGAACTGGCACCCTGAGTTCGGACTGCTAGCCCCTCAGCTGTGAGAAAATCCACTCTAGGATTTGTTACAGTAACGCCTGATAACTAAGACAATGGTTGTTACATTTTTGTTACTGTTGCTCGTGTTTAGCCCACCTCCTAGCACAGCAAGTAAGTGCTGAATGAATGAATCCTAACCTACTGACTGTTTCACCAATGCTCCGCAGTATTAGAGCTCAGCTTCATCCAGGGCTAATTCAGGAAGGCTCTAGGAAGTAACAAACTCCAGATTTTGATTTCTGCTGCTATTGCACCAACGTGCTCCCGCCTCCTTCCCACCTAGAAGAACAAGACTGAGAGATCCCCACTGACTGTAAAGTATCCCGAGTCCCCACAGTTCGGGCAGGAGTTCAGGCTGGGCAGCAGCTCCGGGGACCTCCCGACGGGACCAGAGCTTACCATCACTTTGGCTGTCTGGCTGGAACCTTCTCTTCTTGCTGAATTTATTGGGCTGCTGGAACTTGCCCTTTGCTGCTTTGTCCCCTTGCTGCTTACTCTTGAACTGTTTCACAGTCTTCTTCCCAGGTTTTGTGGCACTTTTCCCGAAGTTCAGAGATGTGGCTTTATGTCCACCATCCTTAACAAGTTTCCTTGGGAACGTCTTTGAAGAATCAGAACCTAGTGATGAAAACAAGTGATTAATTCAATGGCCCGGGGCAGACCTCCCCTTTTTTCATTGGGTTCTGTTCCTTACACATGTTTTTTACTGAGCTATACTCTGTGTTATTCTCAAGCATGGAGTCCTAGGGTGGCACTGTGGGTTAATGCACTGGACTGCATAGTTGGTTTGAACCGCAAGGTTGGCAGGTCAAGCTCACCAGCCGCTCCTCAAAAATCCTATACAGGGTTGCTAGGGTCAAAACTGACTCGATGGCACTTACTAACAATAAACTCTCAAATATACACTTACCTTGTTAAACAGCAGGACTTAAAGTCAAAACAGAATGAAACCAAAACTCATTCCCTGATTATAAAATAGTAACAGAAGTCCATTAAAGAAACCCTAGAAAGTAGAGCTGCACGATAAAAAACTACCCATAATTCTACCACCTGGTCAAATGAGAGCCACTGGTGACTTTAAAAATGTCCTGGAAAATAGACTAAAAAGGTCATGAAGTTTGCCGCCCACAAACTTTAGGAAAAGGCTCCTCATATTTGATATAATTCTCCAGTTTTTAAAAAATAGTAGGGCTAATACTTACCCTCTCGATTCCTATTGTAACGACTGCAGCTCCTTAAGGTCGTCAAACCTACTTTTCCTAACATAGAAGGACTGGAAGACTGAAACCAACACTGCTCAAGTTGACCACGGTGTTACGTTCAACTCCGTTTGGCCAATAAGATGTGCACAGTGCCATCTAACCAATGAGATGAGCGTCAAGCCAGAAAACAAGGCCTCTGCTGCCGAGTCAACTCTGACTGGCCCGTTCGCTCAGTTACAAGCCCCCTGCCTTTTCTATTTCGTCACACTGACGCCTAACCGAACAATAAAGACACCGCAACCATACCCCCTGGCCCGAGAGGTACTGGCATGACCAGAGCTACGACCAATTCTGGAATGTCCAACGTTAAAACAAAGGGTGTGAGATAGATTCGGGATCTTCCTTGAGTATCATGCATCCCACTTCCTACTGGGTCTGGCAATTTCTCAGATGTTTTCAATTTCACAAGAAACCTGCCCATCCATATGCACGAACATTCACCCTTCCCAGTATTTCCATTCAAATCCTGGCCCACAAGTATAGACTGAAGTCGGCTTCCTGCCCCGTCATCCATCACCTATCCCCACTCTAATCACAATGGTCAAAAACAACTGCGTGGTGACGTGTGTTTGGGTTTGGCTGTCTTACCACCGCTCTTGGGAAGTCTGGGTTTTCCATGTGAGGTCTCTGTGCCTTTTCCCAGGAATTTCTTTTTCCCTTTGACTTCCATCACAGCAACTCTGGAAAAGAAAAACACAAAGGATCCGTGAAGTGCGCATCACACACGAGCCCTGAAATGATGCCACCATCGTTGTCCTTCACTTAGCAGGTGGCACTCGGGTACCACACAAGCCCAGTCATTACACAATCACTGCTGTAAGATTTTAGAAGTGGTTGCTGTTGGTAAATGCAATGAAATCGGTTCCAACACCCGGTGACCCTGTATAGGGCTTCCAAGGAGTGCCTGGTGGGCTTGAACCGCCGAGCGTGCGGTTTATCTTACAGTACCACCCAAGTCCTTTGGATGTGGAAAGGCACACAGTTCCAATCCAGCACTAAAGCACATCCTCAGATCCTGAGTCCTGCATGTCTTATTTGGAGGCAAGAGTCTGAAGGACTCGCTAGAAATCGATGGTTATTTACACATGGTAAAAGCATCAGTGTTTGGATGATGGATGAGAAGCGGAGCTCTTGCTTCGTAAGAAGTAACCACTCAGTGTTGCTGATGGGTACTATGGAGCACATTCCAACCCCTAGTGATTTCAGGTGACATGAGTGAACTACCCCATGGGGTTTTCTAGGCCCTAGTGACTCTGTAGGAGAAAGATAAGACCCTAATGGTTTACAGTCTCAGAAACCCTATACAGGGTCACATCAATTCGGTGGCAGTGGGCTTAGGTTTGGTTTTTTAATCATGATGGGTGGTCTTTCTGGGAACTACTGGTAGGTTCAACCCACCCACCTTTCTGCTTTACCCTGTATCACCAGGGCTCCTTAACCATTCAATGTTGTTGTTGTTAAGTGCCTTTGAGTCAGTTCTGACTCATAGCAACCCTGTATAAGGTTTCCGAGGAGGAGCTTGAGGAGCTTGATCCACCAAGTCTGTGGATCAAACCAACTTTGCAGTTCAGCATGTTATGTATGGTTGGTTGGTTATGTGCCGTGGAGTCGGTTCCGACTCACAGCAACCCTGTACAGGGTTTCCGAGGCTGCAAATCTTTACAGGAGCAGAAAGCCTCATCTTTCTCCCGCGGAACAGCTGGTAGTTTCAAACTGCTGACCTTGAGGTTCACAGCCTGATTTGTAACCGCTATGCTACCAGAGCTCCTTACCCGGCCTCACTGTTGACATCCCTCAGGTGTTTAACTTATCAATTCTGTCCTTTCTCTCCAGTCTTCCCCAGATGATCTCAGCCAATTTTGTGGGTTTTATGCAGAATCACTTACCCCAAGTTATTTCTCCTTTACGAGTGCTTTCCTGACTCCCACCTGCCACCTATTCATGTGTCCTACAGACACCTTTCACTTAATATACCAGAAACGTAATTCTGCAACTATATGTCTATGCCACCCAGCCCCAGATAACAGCTTTATCAATTCTCCCCACCGTTTTCTTCTCCATCTCAGTCAGTAACACATCACTCACTCAGGAACCAAACCAAACCACTACCACTGAGTCAATCCCAACTCATGTAACCCTGTAGGAAGAGCCCAAATCATTAACCCTGACCGTTTTCAATCCCTGGTCTTGTACATCCAACCCATCAGTGATAGTCGGTTCGAGCACCTTTTAGAAAAATACTTCTAACCCTCCAACTTCTATCTCCATGGCCAACATTCGCATCCAAACCATCACCAAAAAGCTCCTTATTGGGCTTCCAATTTCTATGCAGCACAGTTTTGAAAGAGCAACCAGGACCAAGCATGCTTGTCCCTCGCTTGCAAGCCTTCAACAGATGCCCAGTGCTCAGCAGTCTTCCCTCGGCTTCGGAGCTCAGGGTCCCTTCCGTTGACCCCGCACCAGGTCTCGGCTTCGCCCTAGCCACTAGCTCAGCATCCTGTCCTTTTCCTCCCGGGACTCGATCACTTGCAAATGTACAGGAGGCGGTAAACCCCCCGAGGATGTGTGTCGTGTACCGCCCAGCGCAGGCGCGGACACAGAACGAATGTTGGTCACATGCACACACAGACTGAAGCCCTGGCACAGACGCGAGTTTAGGAGCGACGCCCGCTCCCGACAGTGTGGTGGGAAGAGGATGCTGGACTTAATGTCCTCCAGGTCACTGCCGATCTCTGAGCTCCAAGACGAGGAACCCGTTCAGGAAAGCGTGGTCTGACCCCTCCACCCTATACCCGCGGCCGGGGACCAACACCGCATTCACTTACCGCACACGTGGGGCTCCGCTCCACCGGCGCCACTTCCGCTTCCTGGCCTTGCCCCGCCCCCAAGCGCTCTTACTTCCTCCTTCAGGAACGGAACTGAGGGGCAAGAGGGCGAGAACTAGGAAGAAAAACCGGAAATGTTGAATTTCGATTGGTCCGCTTCTGGAGGCGCGGTGGAGCTGCCCAACGCGGACTTTGGTCCTTGACAGTATCCGTAGTACCGGAGGAGCGTCAGCGGTTCCTGAAAGTGACGTCGTTAACCCTGTGGTTACCTGCCCGGAGCGATGTTGACGTTTCAGTTCAGAGGCGGTCAACCTGTCGCTGAGCGAATGAATATGAAAGTCGCTAACGCGTTTGCACTGCGATCTTTTCCTCCTTTCTGGCTGTGCAGCGTGGGGCTTAAAGCGAGCATCTCGGGAGTTGGCTTGAGTTCAGATCCCGATTTTTCGCACAGTAACTGAGGGCCATTTGGGCAAATTACTAAATTGCTCTAAACCTCTAGTTTATAATATATAAAATAGAAATAACTAAGTCAGCGCCTGACCCAAGCCATGGTATTTTCAATAACCTCATATGCATGTGAAAGCTGGACAGTGAATAAGGAAGATCGTAGAAGAGTTGATGCCTTTGAGTTATGGTGTTGGAGGAGAATATTGAAAGTGTCATGTGCTGACAAAAGAACCAATAGATATGTTTTGGAAGAAGTGTAGCCAGAGTGCTCCTTGGAGGCCAAGATGGCCAAACTTCGTCTCTAATACTTTGGACATACTGTCAGAAGGGAGCAGTCGCTGGAGAAGGATATCATGTTTGGTAAGGTGGAAGGTCAGAGAAAGTGAGGAAGACCCCCAGCAAGATGGATTGACCAAGTGTCAGCATCAATGGGCTCAAGCATAGTAACAATAGGAAGGTTGGCCCACGATCGGGCAGGGTTTCGATGTGCATAAGGTCGTTTCGAGTCCGAACCAACCAGAGAGCAGCTCAACACAACAGGATGGTCTGATCTTGATTAATTATATTAATTATATCTGATATATATAATTAATTATATATTAATTATATCTGATCTTCACTTAATTATATCTACAAAGATGCAATTTCCAAAAAGTTCACTTTCACAGGTTTTGGAGCGTTAACATGTGGGCATGACATTTGAAGGGACATCATTCAACCTCCTATAACTGGACGGTTGACTTGAAACTTGATCCTTGTTGTCAAGCTTCCGATTTTACTCTGCCCCAACACATGCTGCTCCCTGCCTCTTGTGGCATTAGGTTTGAGATTGTAGTAAATCCTTGAGAGCAGGGGCCATGTGACTTCCCAGGTATCAATCCCACAACCCAGCACATAGTAGATGTTTGACAAGCAGTTTTCGCCTAGCTTTATGGAAACAAGTATGTCCACAGTGAAACTCATTTGAGCCTGAGAACTGTTTTTTTTTAACTTTTTGTTGTGAGTTGAGTGAAAGTTTCCAGACAAAATCATCAAGCTTTACATTCAACAAATTATTCACTTGTTTCATCTCAGTGATTCCAATCCCCTCCTGGCAACAACAGTTGTTCCACTTTCTCCCTGTGGGTTCCCTTTTACATCTTATATTTCACAAATGGGCACAGCAAAAATATTTGATATAAAACAAATAATATATATTCATTTAAATGTCCTAAGGGCACATTCTTCAAGCCAGCCTCCTGCCCGCAGGCACACAGCCTTTCTCAGTCCAGGGACCTGGAACCTGCAGCTGCTCTGTCTCTCCACGCCACCACCTCTGCCACTGCCACGGTCTCTGTTGTCGCCACTTTTCTAGGTAGGATTTCACACTCCACCCATGCTCCTCCTTGAGAACAGTTTCAAAGTAGATCTTCCCCTTCATTTTATGGAAAAAGGGAAAAGTTTGATCCCATGTTCTTAAGTGCCTTCGAGTTGTTTCCTACTCAGTAACCCTGGATAGGGTTTTTGAAGCTGGAAATCTATAGGATCAGAAAGCCGCATCTTTCTTCCTCATTGATCCCGTGAGCCTGTCAAAATTACGATATTTTCAGTACAACTACTTCAGGCTGCTGTCTCTGGCCCAGGAAGCTTTTAGTAAATACTCAAGGGGCACCCGCAGTGTCTATTAGTTGAATAGGATGGTAGAGTCGGTACCAATTCAAAGCAACCTTACGCACAACAGAACTGCCCGGTTCTGCAACAACCTCACATTTGTTGCTTTGCTTAAGCCCATTGCTGCTGCCATTGTATCAGTCAATTTCCATGGGGGTCTTCCTCTTTCTCACTGACCCTCCACTTCACCAAGCATGATTTCCTTCTCCAGGGACTGGGCCCTCCTGATAATACGTCTGAAGTATGAGAGACGAAGTCTGGCCATCCTGGCTTCCAAGGATCATTCTGGTTGTTAGATACCCTGACACTTGGCAATAAATGCTAACCAAACCAAACCAACAAAAAACCCAATTTGCAAAAACATACCCCACAGTCTCCGGAAGGAACCCATAGTACTTTCAACTTCGCAGAGGGTGCCATCCCAGATCCTAGCAGACACATCCATGCGGGATTGCCTTGGGCTGCAAGTAATGAACAGCTCAGTCACAGTGCCTGGAGCAAGGAGGTCTTCCAGTCCTCTACATAAAACCCTGTTCAGTGAGGGACCAAAGTCATCAAAGACCCAAGCTCTTTTGATCTCCATGCTCCTCTACCCTCCCCAGCATGCCGATTTTTCATTCTCACTCGCACTCACTGCTTGCAAAGTGGAATCCTCAGTTCCGGGATTGGTGCCAGAGTTCAAAGCAAGAAGATCATGGAGATGAATAAAAACATCCCCCTGCCCAATAGGATTCTTCCTTTTATCCTA